ATCTTCTTTTAAGCTATGTATTAGCTATATTCACATCAAAAGAATGTCTGGTTTGATTTTCTCATTTTTGGGAAGCGCACCAGCAGAAAACTTGAAAAATGGTTCTTTACCTTACCCTCCAAGTATCGTCGGCTCCCTACAATCTGCTAGATGGGGGCGAATGTACTAACACAGCGGCACAGTCGCTCGAGATTTAACTGGACGCGATGTTAACCAATCGTAACTAGAATTGGAACAGCTGGTTGCCATAGAGGTAACCTAGCGTCGCACAAGTGCGTTTTGCTGCACTAAGTGCTTTACGAGGCAAAGAAGAAGCAAAACTAGCTGGTATAGATAACTTGCTAACAATGTATCCGTATGTCCGTCCATTATGCACCACTACTTCGCCACTTTATCCAAACTAGGCAACGTTATCATTTACGTGCCTTGTTCTAACTATAACCTCAAAGTCAAATCAGCCAAAGTCTCCAAAAAGCGCAAGTTAACAGTTATTTAATAAAAAGTGCGATGAAAGTCGTAACTCGAGCAACTGCAGTATATTAGCGTAATATGCCGCTCTGTTCTTTTTCATATAGATAGCTTTATAGATTGGAATGTGTTCAAAAGCAGGCTTGCGGAATCTTTGAGAGTTGTAGAGATACCTCCTACAAACCAAACTATCAGATCTGATAAAATCATAGTACAATTTGCACGGGAACAAATCGGGACTGCATGTGTGTAGAATTTACCTTTCAACATGTTGCTTATTTGGGGATGAGTGTACTAGAGGAAGGGTACGGTTTGTTCAGACGCAACGAACGTTTACAACTGTGTATCGGTTTCCCACAGACCGCTAGACGAAGTCGAAATATTTAAGCACCGGCGCAATCAGTCGACGTCCCCGACGGCCTGAGTCGTGGCAAACAGCTAACCGAAATGTTCTATTTTGATAGAGGGCATCGCCTCCAGACATCGCGCGACTCGCCGCTGCATTACGTACCCTCGACCCCACTCTGCAGATCGGGGCAGCCGATGATAAGGAGTTCCTAGCACATTGCTGCCTTCCACTGCAGGGGGCAGGAGTTCCTAGCACATTGCTGCCTTCCACTGGCTCCAGCAGGTAAGTAGGTACACAGGTATCTACGTAATCCTGCAGCGCTCTACATCCTTACTTCTATCATTCACAAGACTGCAAACGGGGGGTTAGAGAAGTGCAGCAGACAAAAAGTAAAACGTGTTGTTTCTTCAGGCACGGATCAAATATTCATAGCTTGGAATTTTGGTTTAATTCAAATTTGCTATTATTCACTACTAGCTGACGTACCCGGCTACTCTTGCTTTTTATGTTTTCTGCGCTGTTTTTTGCATCTGACTCACATTTGTCTAGGCATAATTTAAGGCATTTATTAAATAGTACTTGTTGAGGGTATGTACTATGTGATTGATACAAAATATACAAAAAGTGCAGCTATCTTGCTAAGATTGAACAGCATTCGGCGTAATGTGTCTAATAGGGTCCTTTGAAACATTAAAAGCGTTGGAAGTGGGACCCGGCACTTGCTAGCAATATATGTACCCGCTCTGCGTTTAGAACTTTTCCATTGCGGATTAATTGCCAAGAAAAGACTGCGTAACTTAGTTATTTTGCCCCACTCCTCACCATGCCTCTCC